AGTAGAACAGATATAATCAAATTGCTGTATTTATTGATAGGAGAAATATCTCAACCTTATTAGTTTTCTGAAAACTAGCAGTCTTGGATATTTCTAGAATCTAAGGATAGAATTTTTGGGATATTATAAAAGTAATATTTCAGAGGATTAATCAGCAGCTCAGCAGTACTGTGGACATCTAGAAAATATCCCTATTTCAATTCTGAAGTTATATTTTCTGCTTTTCTAAAAACCTAAAACATTGTGTATTAACCTGAATACCAAGGCTGAGTATAAATCAGATGATATAACTATAAATAAATAAACAAGCTTATTTGGACACTAATCACCTGTTTTCTTGGAAATGTGCTCAACAGAGCTAAATAGTAACATTCCTATGAAAGGGTGCGTAAGTTTGTAGAATAAATACATATGCAAACGTTCTGTTAACAGACCTTCTTATTAAGTAAAGCAATTTAAAAATAAATCATAATGTTTCCCAAAGGAGAGAGAGACTTTTAAACTTCATTGATGATCTAAGAAAAGGGAGAAACTGAAGCCAGGAAGATTTTAAATGTGACCTTTATGTGTCCATACATTTGGAACCCTGTTTCTTTCTTGCTTGTGATCTGAATACTTTAGGAGTTAATGTTCAGATGTTTCCCATCTCATAATGGTACATTATTCTGCTGTCAGTTTTCAGCAATCGTGGTCAAAGGAGGCTGAAGGCCGCAGAAAGGAAGCATGGCCCCAATTCTGTAAGCTTGTCACTTCAGTGCTAAGAGTCTCCTATAACTTATTGCTTTACCATTTAAAACCAGTGCTTCATTGACATTGTAGGGTTGCAAAGGTGTTCACGAAAACACTTCCATAATTTTCATATTTTTTGTTTCCTCTTGTTCATAACTTTGGTTTAACTGTTCTGTTGCTTCTATGACAAGAAAGTAGGAATTTAGCCCATTGCAGTGGGAACCACTCCAAAACCCATTGTTATGCTGGTTTCATTTTGTACCAGTTTGTCATTATTAGTAGGGGCAGGATAAAGATGTGCAATTAGATCTGTAATCAAATGGAATAAACCATGATTTCCCTGAGGTTTGGCAGACCCCTATGCTTTCAACCTTCCCAAAAGCACTTAAAACCTGGCTTTTCCCCCAAGCTCTGGGATAAGGTGAAATTGGCATGTTTGTGGGCTGCTTGGGAAAGTTTGACTGTGGTGCCAGCTCTTGTTTTGTTTCTGCTCTTGTTTTCATTTCATTTCGGATGTGTATTGTTTTTAATCCTTAGGTTTTGAGTCTCCTGGAGTTTGGTTTAAGATGGAGAGCCATAAAAATAAGATAATAGTAAAGTAAAGTAAAGTAAAGTAAAGAGTAAAGTAAAGTAAAGTAAAGTAAAGTAAAGTAAAGTAAAGTAAAGTAAAGTAAAGTAAAGTAGAAAACTGGCTGCCATTGAACAAGGCCTTGTTCCTTCTTATTTATTTAATCAATTTATATAGTTGTCCATCTAAAAATGCAACTCCAGGCTGGAAACATAGGATTAAAAAAAACAACACAGCAACCAAAGCAAATAATAACAATAAGAGCACACTTATTGTTACAGAGGACAATATAATCCAACTCTTACAACAGAAGTCTCAGTAAGAAAGAAATCACGTCTTTCAATGCACTGCTTGTTTATAAAAAGTTTCACGAAGACATACAAGGAATAATTGCAGTGAAGCACATAATTTTAGGGAGCAAAAATGTTTACAAAATGCAGAACTAGTGGAGAGACCTTCCACCCTTATGCTGGAAGAGCCATCCTGTACAGAATGGAAGACATGGCAGAGTTTAGCTAGAAGCAAAGAAAGGCAGAAATGGGACCTCCACTATTTTCAGTGATAGTAAATGCAAGATTTCTCTCTAATTTGTCATTAGGTGAATAAGAACCATAAAGAGGGTGTTTGGGGGAAATCTGTGACTGCCAAATGAGGCAAAGCACTGTCTTTTAAAACAGATGCCAGTTCAAGTAAGCAATGAAAAACTAGACTGTTTAGAGAAAGAAATGCTCCTGGAACATATGGTAAGAGCGGGACTAAGCTTTATTCAGCCTGAACTTTAGGAATATTTTGTGGTATATTTATTGTCCAATTGCTCTATTTAGTGCAATTTCACTGCACTAAAATTACATTTTTGCAAACAATATGCCTGCAAACCCACATCATGCAGACCTCATATAAGCTTATTTTTCACAAAACAGCGGATAAGAAGGCTGATTCATGTAAGGTCTCATAAAGGAAAGTACTGTAAACTAAAGCCATTTTTTTTCCTTATATGCAGGTATGATGAGAGAGAGAAAGAGAAAGGGAGGAAAAAAAAAAAAAAACTCTGACAATGGACTTCTATTCTGACTTCCTGGCTGGCTTCTGAAGCCACATCTTTTCCTTGTGGGAAAAGTCAACATCATAATGCTCAGGATAGGACTGGTAAAACATGTCACCTTGTATGACTAGCCTGAGAATGTATATTCCTTCCCGTTGCTTATAATGGGAGGGATTTTTCTTTTTATGTTCCTTTCTGCTAACAGCCTGCAAATCTGTTGTTAGCTAGATACTTAAAATGTTGGGCCAATCTGTTCTTTGAGTAGAACACTGCTCTACTAATTGAAAATTTTATGGCTAAGGGCTCTAGTTACTCTTAGATCAACTGGGTAATACATAACTTTATACAGCACTAATTAACTTTCAGTGATGTTCATATATAAGAAAAACTGCTGTGTTTAACCTTCCCTGTATGTTCATTAATCTTTGCTACATTTTAATATATTTTTGTCTTTATCATTACCAGTATCATCCTATCATTTCAGTAAATCAACAGTCTTTGAAACTGTCATTCATTCATACCGTATAGCTTGCAGGAACAGTAAAGAAATATTCAGTCCTTTAAAAAAATAAGGAGATTCTAAATTCTTACAAGGTAAGAACATGTGAGACTTAATAGAAATTAAAAAAAAAAAAAAATCTCTGAGATCACAGCCTATAACTCCCAACTGAGTGGCACATAACAAGCGATAATACAGCAGGAGTTTCAAATGATAAACTGAAACCGAGCATACAGCTGAAATCTTCTGTATTTTTAATGAAATAGCACTTCAGAATATTAACTGCTACCACTCTTTAAAATGTCTTTATATCATTTTAAAAGTAACTGATGAGCAATATATTATACAGCCATAAAATTTTAGTAGAACTGATTTACTGAACAATAAAGTCACATATAAAAAATAAATTGTGCAAGGAACACAGCATGTTTCTAATAAACCTGCAAGGTTTTAGCACAGGAAAATGAAATCCTGTTTCCGCATGCATAGGAGTCAATGTCAGTGGAGCTAATTTTGGATGTATATGTATATAACTGCATTATAAATTATATTTTAAGTATGCTATCTTTTTATTAGGAAAAAAAATACAGAATATATTTCACTCATACTTCTATTTTTTATATAAGTTCTTGGCTATAGTATTTTAAAACCATTCTAACAGCCTTATTTTTTACATTTTTTAAAGTATAGGAAGGTAAGTGTTAATTATCATTAGCATTGTTTATTTATATATAGCAGGTGAACGAATTGCAGTATGATTTTTTTGTTAAACCCAACCTTAGTACGGAAACCCAAAGAATAACATACAATGATAAGTGTATAAGTGATAAGAGTTTACAAATGGCCTGGTTCACATCAGCTTCAAGGATGCTTCCACATGCCTTTATGTTTCAATCTTATTAAAGC